GGCAATTTTCCAGACACTTCAGATTATCTTTCAGGGCCTATGTTGCACACTGTGGCACTTGAGGAGGGTTCCTATAGGAAGAAAATAATCTCTTGCACTTTTCACAATTATTTTCTACACCTGCTTTAAGTAAAAGTTGGTACAGTGACTTTAAAGAGGCCATTTTTATCTCACTTTCATCAGAGACTTTAGGATACTGGTAGTTTTATCAGTCCAGCAAAGGGAAGAATATCTTCTAATCAGAAATGACCTTGCAGCTCATTGTTTTACTGAAATATCTGTTTAGTACTTTACATTCAACTGCTACTTCTATGATATACAGGATGGATAGTTTACTCAGCAGTAAGTGGTCTTACCTCTGCATGATTCATCTGCATCAGCACAAAGACAGATACTTATACTTAGGCAATCCCTCGTTGTCCCTTGTTGTTGTTGTTGTTGTTGTTGTTCATTCGTTCAGTCGCTTCCGACTCTTCGTGACCTCATGGACCAGCCCACGCCAGAGCTCCCTGTCAGCTGTCACCACCCCCAGCTCCTCCCTCCCTCCTTCGTTGTCTGAGTAGGATTGTTTGTTCATCTACCTCGCTTTCATCAGATTGATGTACTGGCGGTGGCTCCGTAGGTGACTGTGGAGCCCTATTCTTGATCTGGTCAGGGTTGGCTTGAAGCTCCTTCTTCTTGACACGTTTCTCTCTTTCGCCCTCCATTCGTGCCTCTTCAAATTCTACAGCACTGCTGGTCACAGCTGATCTTCAGCTGGAGCGCTCAAGGGCCAGGGCTTCCCAGTTCTCCGTGTCAATGTCACAGTTTTTAATGTTGGCTTTGAGCTCATCTTTAAATCTCTTTTCCTGCCCACCAACATTTCATTTTCTGTTCTTGAGTTCGGAGTAGAGTAACTGCTTTGGGAGACAGTGATTGGGCATCCGGACAACATAGCCGGTCCAGCAGAGTTGATGGCGGAGGACCATCACTTCAGTGCTGGTGGTCTTTGCTTCTTCCAGTATGCTGACATTTGTCCGTTTGTCTTCCCAAGAGATTTGCAGGATTTTTTGGAGATAACACTGTTGGAATTGTTCCAGGAGTTGCATGGGATATCTGTAGATAGTCCACGTCTTGCAGGCATATAGCATGGTTGGGAGGACAATAGCTTTATAAAAATGCTGCACTAGCAGAGCTCAGGCGGTGTTGTATTTCAGTGTAAATGTTGACTTTTGTGGAAAGTGGCTGAAGGCCTTTCTGGAATCAAGTAAGGTATACTTATAGCTGAAGGCCTTTCTGGAATCAAGAATTCCATTTTGTTTCTTTAGATATTTTTAAGTAACACAAGAAATTTTCATAGTTGTTGGATAAATTATACTGCCTAAAAAATTAAAGTTGTCATAGATGAAGAACAGTTCCTTCCCAGCCTTGCTTTATTTTGACACCCTTAGCTTGCAGATTTCATAGATTCAGCAAGTCTTTTCTACACACAGAGAGTGATTCTAGAGTGTGTGAGATGCAGCCAAGAATGTTGAGCTTTGGGTTTGCAACCTAAGTTTGCAATTGTATTGGCAAAATTCATTTAGAAGAGATTAAATGTTTAGCTTATTAAATAACTTTCTATATTGTTTCTAATCATCATCATTATTTATATCTCACTACCATCTCGCAAAAGGGCAGATTACAAGGCACTTCAAGTACAACATAACAAAAACGGTACATGAGTATAAAACACTATCACGTAAGAACTATAAAAACAGCCACTATCAACACATATAAAACAAAATAACACAGTTTTAAAAACTTTAGCACATATGCAAATCTCCAAGTAAAACACTGTATTTTAAAATACTACTATCAATCAGAAAATTCCAAGAGAAAATGCAGTAGTTAAAGACATTGAGCCATGCCCTGAACTGGATCCCAGGCCAGGTTATCCAGTGTTTAATTTCCCGCCCCTGAAATGTCCCTTTCTAGGAGTTATGGGTTGAACACCAGGTTGTTCAAGGGACAGGAAAGCTCTTTTTCAAACAGGAAGTGATCAGAAAATTCCTACTTTTTAAAAAGGCCTCAACTGATTCCACAAAGGGAGGAAAAGTAGCACATTTCCCCCATAACCAATACGGGAGCAAAAATATTTCAGCAAATCAGTTCTGTATGATCACCCGGGGGGGGGGGGCGCAGCCCCCAAATGCCATATCATTTCTGTTTCTGATCTAGCTGTGAAGGCTAGATCTGAAATGATGGGGCATAAAAGTTTGTAACTAAGGAATGTTAGTATTGTGAATGCAGTTTATCCGAGTGCATATTGTATCCTTTAATTGTAGGATTTATGCTAACTGCTCTAGGATTTTACTGGGGAAATGACTTTATGAAAAATAAATCCATCTTCCTCAAAAAATATATTCTAACGTAGAAGTGCAGGGCAATTTAAAAAGTGCTTATACTACTGATGTATTGTGGAGCTGCATAATTCTGGGACTCATCACATATTAAAAGTAATGCTGATATTTACTCCAAATTGAGTAACATTTCCTCTTTAGAAAGGTCTTAACGTTTAAAAGTGCTGTTATAAAGAGCACTAAGTGTAAAGCAAATCTTAATGCTTTCTCCTAAGGGATGAACCGAATATCTTTTGCATGTCAGAGATGCATCACATCTGGTTTGATTAATTCAATAGAACAGAACTGGAGTTGATCCATGACATTTAACCTATGACTAAGGTTCTGTCCAATTTTACAAATTGAAAACACACTCTATATTTATCAGCAGGCAAATTGAGAGAATGTGGTCTCAGCTGGAGTCATATCTAGGTGTTACTTAGACAGCAAATAAATTCCTAATACAGAAAGGTGTGGGTAAAACGAATGCTCTTAGCCAGTGTTTCTCAACCTGGGAGGGGGGGTCACCAAAGATCATTAGAAAACAGTATTTCTGTTGGTCATGGGGGTTTTGTGTGGGAAGTTTGGCCCAATTCTATCGTTGGTGGGGTTCAGAATGCTTTTTGATTGTAGGTTAACTATAAATCCCAGCAACTACAACTCCCAAATGACAAAATCACCCCCCTCACCCCACCAGTATTCAAATTTCGGTGTATTCGGTGTATTTGTGCCAAATTTCAGTATGAAAATTTTCAGTGAATGAAAATTCATCTTGCATATCAGATATTCACATTACGATTCAGAACAGTAGCAAAACAGTAGTTAAGAAGTAGCAATGAAAATAATTTCATGGTTGGGGTCACCACATGAGGAACTGTATTAAGGGGTTAGGAAGGCTGAGAACCACTGCTCTTAGCTTCTGATGATAGTGTAACCAGAAAGTAAATGGGTTTGTAATGTCTGTTTGGACTTCTAGTGGTAATGCAGTATGACCCCGTTCCCACAGGGATATGTTTTCGCTGATATATTCTGGTTTGCAAAAAAAATTAGAACTTGGAAAATGTTTTTTTCCTTTTGCTTTGCATTCAGTTTTTCCTTTTTATGCAAGGAATGCCTATATTTATACACATATATTGCAGATAGAGAAAGGTTATTGAAAGAGAAAAAAGTAGAACTGAAGAATTTTAAAGCTGCAAAATGTAAAAGGGAAAGTTAAAGGTAGCTATTTTAGGTGATTTGGGAAATTAAGGTGAATTATGTTTGTGTCTGCAAGCTGTAAGGCTTTGCTACCACCTGTTGGACGACCAGAGTTTTACTTCTTAAAAGTTCTATGGTAAATGGCAAAATACACAAATCAAGAGTCGCCTGAGGGCTGAGAAGAGCGGTATAGTACAAGTGAAGTAAATAAATAAATAAATAAGTGAGGTATTTGGTGACTTGTAAGGGCGTCCTACAAAATGTTTGGTTTTTAGTGTCTCGCTTCATTTTTCAGTCAGATCATGTCATACTGCATGTTCATGAGCTTTTTTTCACTGCGTCCAAATTTGGACTATCAGAAAGCTTTTCATTTTTATCCCATGATTCATCTTGAGCCTGATAATTCAAATTCTGGTTTGTTTTCCTCCATTTTCAGCTTAAAAGATACTGTGTATCTACTCTTCCCCCCCCCCCCCCTTATGTTTCATTCTAGTGTTCTGATCCCATCTTAGATATGGGATGACACTCTCAAGTGCCTCACCCATTAAATCCTCTTTTTTCTCTCTCTCCTAACCTTAGTGCTAAAAGAAGCCCAAGCAGTCATTGTACTGAATGCCTACCTCTAATTTCTGTCTAATAAATGATATATGCTAAAATATCCACAACATCTTCCTGACTTTCTACTTCTATAACTGTTGATGTTTTATAATATTTTTAAATATGCTGCAGTTTGCTTTGTTTGTTTGTTTTTTAAAAATCAGTTGTCCACTGGGAGAAGAAACATTTTATCATTGAGTTTGGAGCTCTGCTATATTGAGGCCAAGCTTGCATTTGGGATATCTGACAAGAATCAACTGTTTGTGCCTCAACTAGTTCTAAGACAGTAATTCTCAGCCTGTGGGTCCCCAAGTGTTTTGGCCTACAACTCCCAGAAATCTCAGCCAGTTTACCAGCTGTTAGGATTTCTGGGAGTTGAAAGCCAAGATATCTGGGGACCCACAGGTTGATGACTACTGTTCTAAACCAACAGATATTTAGTGGGAATAAAGTTTGTTTTCCAATGTAAATTGAAGATAAGATTGCACTTTTGGAGAGTTTCCTCATACAGAAGGTTAACATTGTGAACGTTTCTCATCTAATGTTTCATATCCAAGTTAACCCAAAATAACATTCCAGAATAATGCCATACATCCATAAGGACTAAATGCAATTATGCCATGTTGTTTTTGTAATATTTATGTAAGTTTTCTGAGAGAAGCTTCTAAATAAAAAGACTATCAAATAATCAAATTCTGAAATAATGTTGAAAGTATTGTCTGAAGAATGGAATATAAGTTCTTTAATTGCCAATTATTGCCTTACTATTTAAAATTAATGACCGTGTTTGTATTAATGATTTTGCTTTTCGTTTTAACATTTTTTTTTTCATTTTCTGTGTTGTAGGCAGCTGCAGGAGCAACAACGACAAAAAGAGTTGGAAAGGGAGAGGCTGGAACGTGACAGAATGGAGCGGGAAAGGCTGGAACGGGAAAGACTAGAACGAGAGAGGCTGGAGCGAGAAAGACTAGAAAAAGAAAGACTGGAACGAGATCGATTAGAACAGGAACAACTGGAACGGCAGGAGAGGGAGCGACAAGAACGAGATCGGCAAGAGCGCCTTGAAAGAGAAAGACAAGACCGGGAACAATTGGAATGGGAAAGACAGGAAAGAGAACGGCAAGAACAACTAGAAAGAGAACAACTAGAATGGGAAAGGGAAAGAAAACTCTCAAATGCTGGTAAGAATTTCAGTACACTTGAAATACTAGGCTTGAGGTGTAATGGAATTGATAGAAGCAATCAAAGAAATTACTTCCTGGTTGCATTTAATTTAATTCAGAGTTTCTCAAACTGTTCCCCTCCCAATGTTTTGGACTTCAGCTCCCACAATTCCTAACAGCTGGTAAACTGGCTGGGATTTCTGGGAGCTAAAGTCCAAAACACCTGGAGGAGCACAGTTTGAGAAACAATGATTTAATTTTCTTTAAAAATTGAAAAGTGTTGGAATTATGCCCTATAAAGTTACTATATTTCTGATATAGAAAATTAGCGTGACTCAGTAGTTATATTTTTATGTTTGAACATGGAGTCCTGAATATTTTAGTCCATCGCAAGAAGCAGTTACTTAGTGTTAATTCAGAGCCAGAGTTTTTTTGCTCGAGAACTATCCTATGAAAAGAATAAATTAGGCCTTTTAGTGTGGTCACAAGGTGTTCCTCTGTTAACAAAGTCAATGTGTTCCTGGACATTACTTCTTTCACAGAAAATTTGATACCAGAGGCAGAAAAAAAATTCGAAGGCTAGAGATAACACAAAAGTGAAGAGCAGTTCAACATGTTTCAACAGACCTTTTCTTCAAAACTAACAATAATAGGTCTGTGTGAAATAAAAAACTACATCAGATAATTCTTGCACAAGCAAACAAAAACATTTCAAACCTTGTAGGAGACTGTGGAGAAACTTTTTGAGTCCCTTTGGGGAGAGAGGGTGGGTTATAAATAAAGTTTTATTATTATTCCACGATGAAGAAGCTTCTTCCACCAATTTTTATTTGGGCAGCCAAGCAAGCTGGGGATTGCTAGTGAGGCAAGTTGTGTCTGCTTTCACATTTTATCCCCGGTTTGATCCTCATGCTCAGTAAGGTGTCCTTAAGACAGATGATGTTAATGTGCTTGTTGTAGGAGAACAGTATCCACTTCTTTCCCAGATCAAACTTGAAGGCGTTACTACAGACATGCTGTTACAGCATAATATTGAAAGTCTGTTTCTCCATCCTTCCTTTATTGCTCTCCCATTGCCAATACAAGGAGAATTTTTTTTTTAGAGTTTTTTATAACCCGGTCTTCTCGACCTCCGGAGAGGGACTCAGGCCGGCTAACAACAGAGGATTCAATACAGTAAAATAAAAACAAATATACATCATCAATATAAAATACATTAAAATACAGTTCATACAAATTTAAAAAATACAAAAAAGTCAGTTCAACAAAGGCTCTTTGTCAGAGCTTTTTTTTTGGTTGAGGCATGACTATACACTTTCTTGTCTCTAAAAGTAAAATGTGAAGACTATTCCAATTAAACATGTCCCATAAAGTAAGTGGCGGCCATTGATCTCTGTAGAAAAGAGGGAAATTGAAATCAAAGAGATTTGTGTCTTGTTTCTCAGATATACAGAGGTCTAGCTTAGTGTATCTGCTCTGGAAATGGGTTAATGTAGCCGTTGACCATGGGCAATTACATTTTACCTATATTTAGATATGCATCTCTAGGAAAAATGTACACCACACCCTGGAATCCCAACTTGACAGAGACATGTGAGGGATGGGCTAGGAGGGGGAGGATAATGCAAATGCCATACACTTTTTCAATACGCATATTTTAGATCTTTTTTCTGTGAATGTTTTTGCCTGGATTCATGAAACATCATGAGATGTAAATGGTACGACAACAAAGGTCTCAAAGGGAGCTAATTGCAAACATTACATACAGCCTTTAAGCATTATACTCAAGCTTAGTTTGAATGTTTTATGTTTAAAGACTTTATCAGAACCTCTTGCCATCTTTTCATTTAGTCTGAAAATAATATTCAGTAAAGTGAAGTGGTTTACATACTGGGTTCACTATAAGAATATTCTGTCATTCCGTCCATTTTATATAATTCCGGTCATTGCAGATAGCTTATTTTCATGCAAAGATACACTAGACATTTTATGTTGAATCACACAGCATTAAAACCGACTTATATTTATTGTTCCCAAATGAATAGGATGTGTAATGGTCATTTATCTCCAGAATATTTTGTGGCCTGTTCTTTTCATATGCCTACAGATTTCTTTTTCGCTTACTTGATGTCCTTGTCCCTAGTACTATTTCCAATACCAAAATTTAAATTTTCTACTTTTTCTAGCCTCTCTTGAAGTGCTTTGTTTTCAGTTGAAGAGCTTTGTTTCCCACACCTGGCTTCCTGTTCTTGATCTTTTTATGCTTTTATATCCCCTTTTCTCAGCCTTATCCTTCTCTACCCTGTCCTGCAACCCAGCTTGGACTATGTGTGTACGTTTACTTTTCAGAATTTGGAGATGAGGGTGTGGCATTTAAAACTCTTTTCAAATAAATGTTTAGATCAGTTGGATTCAGTTTATGTGTGTTTAGGTGCAACTGTAAGCCAGGGTCTCTGCCAGTTGTACCACCCAACTTGTCACCTAAGATAAAGCTTTGAAATTCATGTTAGAAGATAGTCTCTAGCGTGAGAGATTAATAATGGCAGATTTGCATGAAGAGTCTTAATGAAACCTTTTAGCAGGTTGTATGGCTAGTGTTTTAGATGTGTTACTGTGAAACTCCATAGATCCAGGCTCAAATTGTGTTGTTAGTTCCGTAATTTAATACATTTTAAACAGTGGATTTAATATATTTTACACAGTGGAATTGCTACATGTGTTGAGATGTCCATTTAGAAATTAGAAACTTAAAACATATACAAAACTTCAAAGAATGTAGCCATTTGTATCTAAATTTATTCTAAATACTTGTCATTGTTGTAATAGGTACAGTAAAAGACATTCAAGCCAGTCATTCTTTTGAAAGTCTGAAATATTCCAAATCCTTGTTTTATGTAATCAGAAAGCTGGGATGCCCCTGTCTTGGGAATCTGTTGTCACCAGTTTTGTATTCTTTCAGAGTCACTCGCTTTGAAGAAGTGTGCAGAAATGTATAACGTAGTGCTTTGCTTTATTGTTGAGTAGGATTGTGCGAGTGCTTTTCTTTGAGGTGGAATAGTTCAGTGATGCACTTTCCTTTGAGTGAAATTGAGAACTCCAAGATTAATTGCAAGTTCATTATAGCACTAGGATAGCATATAATGATCAGGGTCGGGTTTAAATTTGTAGTTTAGGATTATAAGAACATGCTTAGTCTTATTTGCTGCTTAAATTAGTCTTGTGTTAATATATCAGTTGCCTAAAAGTATTTTGCTGAGTACAAAAGTTAGGGGCATGCCTGGCAGGCAAGCAGGCAAAGTAATAATTATGTTTCTGATTAATTATGAGCCAAAAATTAATAACTGGGAAAGCAGAAACTTGCATATGGTAGTAATTTAGGTAGGTTTCTTAAAATTGCTCATGTTTACTTGTTTGGATAGTGAAGTTGTTTTCAGTAGTCTTTCTTTTTTTTCAAAACTCCCCAGGATCAATACACTTGATTGCAAACTATAGATTTTTCTGATTGTCTTTTGGGAGCTTATTCTGCCGAGGAGTTGTGTTTTTTAAAATACTTCTAGAATGTGCTTGTAAATTCAAGCAGTGGCACAAATAAATGGTGAAATTGGAAGCTTCCCTAGTCTATAAAGTCTCCTAACCGTAAATCACTTGTGCCTAATCCTGTGGAACTAACTATAGTCTACTTTTATAAATTCTGTTTGAATGCTGGTTTTGTTGCTTCATTAGCTCCCTTTTTTCTCTCTCTTTCTCTCTATCCTGCCTCTGCTGCTGCTTTCCACCTTCTGTCCAGCTCCATCTTACGACAACTCCCCGTATAGTACTTCACTTCCTGAATACTCCAGTTGCCAGCCTCCTTCAGCACCACCTCCTTCATATGCTAAAGCAATGTCAGACTCTACTCCAGATTACGCTGTAGTGACTGCTGCACAGCCTGTGTCCTCTCCCCCAACGCCACCCCTAAGGCACTCCGCGTCACGTTTTGCTACGTCTTTGGGCTCTGCCTTCCACCCTGTTCTTCCCCATTATGCCACAGTTCCTCGTCCAGTAAACAAAAATTCTCGACCACCTTCACCTGTGAACCCCCCTGCCTCTTTGCCCCCAAGTTCCAAGACTACTACTTGGTCTGCTTCTAGTTTTGCACCTCTTCCCCCATCTCCTCCAGTCATGATTAGCAGTCCTCCAGGCAAAGCCACTGGCCCGAAGCCTGTTCTCCCAATCCCTGTTAGTGCTCAGTTATCCCAAATGTCGCCATCCCCTACTGCGCCCAATGGTCTTCCAGAATTGGCAAATTATCCAGCTCCTTCGCCACCTACCTCAGGTCCAACGCCGCCACCGCCGCCACCTTCCTTTCAGCCTCTCTCATTCTCTGGACCTCAAGTTTCCTCTCCGAGCTCCCCTAATGCCTCGGCTCCCTCATCCAAGCCTAGTGTTCTCCCTTCTCCTTCTGCAGCTCCCCCTGCCTCTGTTGAGAACTCTCTAAACTCTGTGCTGGGAGACTCCTCTGCTTCTGAGCCAGTCTTGCAGACAGCCTCTCAGCCGGTTGAACCTCCGTCCCAGCAGGGTAAGGTTTCTGTTATTGATACTAATTAACTAATCAGGAATGCACCCCTAACTAATTTGCATCCAAAACCTGAATTGTCCTGATGCATTAACAGTTTGAAAGCTGCAGAGTGATCTTAATTCCCTCCAGCAAATGTTTGGCAGGATGTTAAGATATTGGAGGTATGGTTTTTGTCAAATACAACAATATATGTAGAGTTTAATTCTTTTATTTTGTTTGTTTCTTGGAAGGTGAGTTTGGCTGCTGTATGAGGCTTGCTGGGAGGGGGAGGGAATGCTAACTGAAAGTAAATGTAGTGCTTCTTACTTAAATGAAGCCATCTGACTGTGTCAGGTTTGTATTAGTTTGTTATTATGAAAATCAGGACACATAACTGATAAACTGTTTTTGGTGCAATTTTTTCCATTATGAATTTTAGTTATGAACATTAAATTGTATGTCTGTTCAGAGAATATTTAAACTCAGTACATATCTGTATCCAGATAGATTTAAATTGTAGTCGTCCTACCAACTTAAGCAGTTTAGCTGAAACTTCTGGAGAACCAAAGGAGCCCAGTTTTATTACTCAGTATCATTAGAGCTCAAAAGGAGGCAATCCTTACTAACTTGTGATGTTCTACCACTACAGGGACAGATGAAAATCAGCCTACACTTGATAGGCAAAACTATATTTGTGGTTATGGGCAATTCTCATTAATTGGTGGGTGGGTAAGTCTGGGTGTACATATAGACATACAAAAAATGATTTTCATCAAGCTGTGGAGGTGGCGAACATGCTTTTTAAAGACTTCTAACCCACTAATGTATGCATTATTAATACTTCTGACAAAAAACCCCCAAGGCATAAGTTGCAACTATGTAGATATTTGATATATCTCATCCTTAATCTTTCCTAAATATGTAAAACTAAAGAACCCAATGAAGATGTATATCTTTTTAAAGCTTAATATTAGACTCTTTGAGTGTTAGGGCCATTGGCTTTTATCCACTGACATTATATTTTTGATTTAAGGAAGAATCTTTTAGTACGCAGTGTAAAAAAAATGTGTGGCATCATATTTTTAAAGAAACTGAAATGAGTGTTGCCTTCAACAATGTGATTTCATCTTACAGATTTTAAAGACTACCTTTTTTCAGGCTGAATTGTTTATTACTCTTTGAATGTGAATGTTAAAAATAGTAAATATTTTATGGATTGTGTAACAGGATAGATGTTGGAATGTGAATTTCATTCTCTTTAAGAGTTTATAAAACTGGCTACCTAGCAGTTTTTACCACTTGTCACAGTTTTTATATTTGGTTTTTTCCTACGTGTGTGTTTTTTTCTTAATTAGGTGTTGTACAAGGACCACCTGCACCTCCGCCCCCGCCCCCTCTTCCTCCTGGCCCCGTCCAGTCTCCACCAGCAGTCCCTCCTCCCCCTGGGCCACCCCCACCACCTCCTCTTCCGCCATCAGGGCCACCTCCCCCTCCGCCTCCACCCCCACTTCCCAACCAGGTCCCTCCTCCACCTCCTGCTCCTCCCCTCCCTGTCAGTGGTTTCCCCAAGGGGTTGATGTATGAAGATCACCGTCCCATAACAGGACTAGCAGCCGCCCTTGCAGGAGCCAAACTGAGAAAAGTATCACGGGTAAATACAATTTAAGTTTTTTTAAATGGTACTTAACATAAATTTAAACTCAATTTACTTTTTTATAATGACTAATTGGTGTAGAGATCAGGATTGAACACTAACTAGACAGCATTTAGGTATAGCACAGTCATAGGCAAACTTCAGCTCTCAGGGTGTTTTGGACTTCAGTACCCACAATTTCTAACAATTGGTATGCTGTTAGGAATTGTGAGAGTTGAAGTCCAAAACACCTGGAGGGCCAAAGTTTGCCCATGCCTGGTATAACATGTTCAGGTACAACTCAATATCAGTATGTGGTAAGGCTAATTTACTGTAATATTGAGAATTTTTCTAGACCATGTAGATGAATGTATTGGTTGTCCTTTAGAGATGTCGACTGCTGTATTTGACATTATGATTTGCACGTTATCAATTATAGAATGAAGAGTCTCCTAATCCAAGTGGAGGATCAAGCTCTGCCTCACCTAAAACAGATAGTGGCCGTGGGAATGGCCCACTTCCCCTTGGAGGAAGTGGTTTAATGGAAGAGATGAGTGCACTGTTGGCAAGAAGGTAAGACAGTTGGATTTTTTTGTAGCATTTCTTGTAGATTTGAGTTACTTTTGAAACAATTAAACATGTCTGTATTTTGGTAAGTATCCACCATGGAGGTAAATTGTGAGTGGCTATAGATATCTCAGGCCAACCTAAATGCTCTAAAGGCAAAATGTTGGAATCTAAGCACTGTCGGTCCGAGTTAATACTTGCATGGGACTGGGAAAATCTCTGCTGAGTATTCCTTGCCTAAGGAACCCTCTGGAATTAATGGACTTACCACAGGTTGATAGGTGACCTGAAGGCAGGCACACATATACTCACACTCTCTCATAGATATCTCAGATCTCTATAATGTAAGCATATTCTTAGCATATATGTTATATTGTATATAAATGATTCCAGTCCACCTTATCTGTCTGAATGTATCTCCCCCTGTGAACCATCTTGGAGATTAAGATCGTCTGGGGTGGCCCTGCTCTTGGTCCCACCTCCTTCGCAGGTGCAATTGGTGGGGACGAGAGACAGGGCCTTTTCAATGGTGGCCCCTGGGCTGTGGAATTCCCTCTCCAGTGATATTAGATCAGCCCCTTCCCACCCAATCTTCAGGAAGAGAGTGAAAATGTGGCTTTGAGATCAAGCCTTTAGAGAATAATATAGTGCAATAGATGGATTTGGAATAATGTGCAATCAACTACAGGAATGGCCTGGATTATGATTGAAGGTAGCATGGTTTATAATAGTAATTGTAATGTTTTAATGTATTTAACCTTGATTATAATTCTAATTTTCATGTTTATTTTAATTGTATATTGTTTTTAAAGGCATAAAATTGTTGCTTATGTTGTAAGCCACCTTGAGTCCCTTTTTGGGGTTAATAAAAGTGGGATATAAATATAGTAAATAAATAAATATTAAAATAAATGAATATATATTGATTGTTAAAAACCTTGATATTTAGCATCTGAAATAGCATGATGCATTGTTTTCCATTGACACGCCCACCTGATTGATTTTCATTACTGTGAGCATTCAGGAATGTGCTAAGAGGCACGTATTTAGCCATAGTTTTCACACTGTTAAGGTATGAGACAGTGTGGTTTTTTTCTGAGTTTGGAAAATGATGTTGTAATTCTATATTAGCATGCAGTATTAGCTAAGAAGTAACCAAATATATATTTTGTCCTTCTTTGAAGGAGAAGAATTGCCGAGAAGGGATCGACAGAAGCAGAACAAAAAGAAGAAAAAAGTGTAAGCTAATAAATTAATTTGCCACAATATATGATATGCTCCTATATCCAAATTGTTATTTTTTTAATTTATACTGTACCCAAATGAAAATAATTGCAGTGATTTATATTTACAACTTGAAATGTTAGGTCTTTACCTTTTCCCTTTCTTCTTCTGCTAGAAATGTGGTAACTCATAGGAGCTTAACTGCTTTATTTTGTAAATTTGACTAGAAGTGCAGATTTGTTATATTATTTATCTCACTTTAATAGGAAGAGCCAGAGCCTTCAGTTTCCAAGCCTCCTTCAACAAGCACACCTGGTAAGTTATGCAAATTTTTGAAGCATGACATTCTCTTTTTTGACATTCTTTTTGATCATTATTCTAACATAAAGCAAAATTGTGGTAAATAATTAATAATCTTATATGTACTCTGTATACACATGTATAAGTCCAGAAATTTTAATTAAAAAATCAGCCCCAAAAAACTGGGTCAATTTATGAGTGGTTCAGTTTGAGTACTATACCTTAGCCCTTAGCCCTTGAGTACTATACCTTAGCCCTTGTGTCGGCAGGACTGCTGACTGACAGATCAGTGGTTTGAATCGGCGGAAAGCAGGTTGAACTCCCTCTGTCAACTTCAGCTCCCTATGCGGGGACATGAGGGAAGTCTCCCACAAGGATGGTAAAATATCAAATATCCGGACATCCCCTGGGCAACGTCCTTGCAGACAGCCAGTTCTCTCACACCAGAAGTGACTTGCAGTTTCTCAAGTCGCTCCTGACACTAAAAAAAATTACCTTCTCTGAGTAGAGAGGTGAAAGGTCAGAGTTTAATCTGCCTTGGGAGAACCTAGAAGAAGCATTGAGCTTACCTACTCTTTCTCTGTCATTACTTTACTTTTGAATGTCTGGATGGGAAAATGGCAGGATTGGCTGCCACCCTGAGGTAGCATTGGTGTCTTTACCTCTCCATGGAATGGCCCTTGGCCTATCCATTGGTCCTATCGAAACTTATAATTGTGACCCTAGGAATCTGTCCTCAACTTATACATAAGGTTGACTTACACATCAGTATATATCAGGCATTGGCAAACTTCGGCCCTTCAGGTGTTTTGGACTTCAACTCCCACAATCCCTAACAGCCTCAGACTCCTTCCTTTTCCCCCTTTCCTCCTTCCTTTTACCCCTCAGCCGCTTAAGCGGCTGAGGGGGAAAAGGAAAGACCCTGAAGCTATTAGGGATTGTGGGAGTTGAAGTCCAAAACACCCGAAGGGGCGAAGTTTGCCCATGACTGGTCTATATGGCAATCTAGTTGGATGCACCTGATAAAAATGGATGTCCAAAGTGTTGTCTGTTGAGTATATAATTTATTCTTTCATTATGTTTTCCACTGGTCTTATGGCATCCGATAGTAGCAGGATCTTAGAAAAAATGTATCTCCCATAAGAATGTCCTAAAAGCATCATTCAGTGAATGTAATTAATTAACATTCAATTATGTTACTTCCTACAGAACTAACAAGAAAGCCCTGGGAAAGAACAAATACAATGAATGGAAGCAAGTCACCCGTTATCTCAAGGTAATATTTGAAAATAACCACAATAAAAGAATTTCACAAAATGTTTTTAGATGATAACATTCAACTTCACAGTTTTATGACTATACACCCGTGGGTTCTAACCTGTGTTCCTTCATAAGTTCTAGACTTCAGCTCTCAGAGTTCCTGACTGTCAGGGGTCTAGAAGTCGAAGTCCAAAAACCCTGGAGAAACAAGTGTTGGGAACTACTGATACAAATCATTCATGTGTTAAATACATTCTTAAGGGATGGAAAAATACTTTTAATGTTTTCCATGTTCTGTCAGAAATTCTAAAAGAAGCTTTGACTCTCTCTACTATCTCCTGTGACCTTTTGCAACATCTAGGTGGGGAATGGCAGTGGCAGCAGAAGTGCTGTGACAAGGAAGCCCCAAAACAGCCGAAGAGAGAGCAGAGGGGGTTGTTGTTTATTTCAAGATCGGTTGGCATGAACTAAGCTGTCAAAGTCTTGGAGTGTATGCCGCATCAAGAAAGGCTGAGAGAAGCACTCGCCCACTCTGCTCTCTCTGCCACAGCAGGGAAGCCCCAAAAGAGCCACCGGAGAAAAAGCAGAGGCGGGCGTTGCTTCCTTGAGACTCTCACAGCGTGGACTATGCTCTCAGACTCTTGGAGATTACTCAGTGCCAAGAGAGCCCGGTATCCACCCCTTCTGCTCTCAGAAAGTCCCAGAAGAGCTGCCAGAGAACCAGCAGAGGTTTCTCAGGCTCTTCTGACGGACTAAACTCTTGGAATCTCAGACCTTACTCTGTGCTGAGAGAGCCCGAAAGAAGCACCTGCTCCTTCTGCCATGGCAAAGAAACCCCAAAACAGCTGCTGGAGAGACAGCAAAAGATGATATTGCTTTCTTCCGATTCTCATGGCACAGGCTTACTTTTTGACTCTTTTTGACTCTGCACTGAGAGAACCACCCTGGTATCCACCCCTTTACTGCTCTTTCCTCTGCTGTGGAGAAGCCAACATTTTTTCAAGTAAACATTACAAAGGCACTACAGATTGGCCCAGGTTTGGGGGGTTTGCAATTTATAAGTGTTTTTGTAAGCACTTATAAATTGCAATAACTTTTTTTTAAAAAAAAGTAAATTAAAATAAGGATAATTTTAATCCCTTCAAATACCTTTTCTTTTGATTTCAGTCTTAACTAATTAGATACATGTACACCACTTTAAAAACTGCAATATTGAGTCAGAAGAAAAAGAAGAAGCAGTGATGAATATCTAACAGGCAAAAAGCCTGCGAAAACGAGTATTTAGGTTTGATTAAGCTGCCATCAGGAATAGGTCCATATTAGGGTGCTCATGCTTTGTGTTCTGTAGACTTTTAAAAAACCTAGTTTATGTGAAAGCATTCACTATAATGAGTTAGAACATTACAACATTAATATTTAAATCCTGAAAAACTTAGGTTTACCCTGAAGAACAAATGCATAGTTGCATGAAGAAAAGCCCAGATCAGAGTAAACTTCTGTAGGAATCTTTCATTAAAAACTAAATGATTTACATTTTTCTGATTTATTTAGTATACTGAGCTAATTTATTCAATAAGATATTATGTATAACTAAAGTATTAATTCAAGAGTTAAAAATAATTGCACTACAGGAAAGCATTATACATGCATGTATATGCAAAACATAAATCCACACTGCCAATTAGGCCTTGCTGATTTTTCTGATAAACATTCTTCAGTGGTATTACCATTTGTTGTTGTTTATTTGTTCAGTCGCTTCTGACTCTTCATGACCTCATGGACCAGCCCACACCATAGCTCCCCATTGGCCGTCACCAACCCCAGCTCCATCAAGGTCAATCTAGCCACTTCAAGGATACCATCCATCCATCTTGCCCTTGGTTGGCCCTTCTTCCTTTTTCCTTCTATTTTCCCCATCATCATTATCTTCTCCAAGCTTTCCTGTCTTCTCACTATGTGGCCAAAGCACTTAATCTTTGCCTCAAATATCCTTCCCTCCAGTGAGGAGTCAGGCTTTATTTCCTGGAGTATGGACTGGTTTGATCTTCTTGTGGTCCAAGGCACTCTCAGAATTTTCCTCCAAAACCATAGTTCAAAAGCGTCGCTTTTCCTTCTCTCAGCCTTCCTTATGATCCCACTCTCACATCCATAGCTTACTACAGGGAATACCATTGCTTTAACTATGCGGATCTTCGTTGCCAGTGTGATGTCTCTACTCTTCACTATTTTATCAAGATTGGTCATTGCTCTCCTCCCAAGAAGTAAACGCTTTCTGATTTCCTGGCTGCAGTCTGCGTCTGCAGTAATCTTTGCAACTAGAAATACAAAGTCTGTCATTGCCTCCACGTTATCATACAGATGTCTTTTTGTTCTATAAACTAATATTGATGGACCAGAGCCATTATATGCATGATCATATTCTAGGTTATATGGTTATCATCTGTATTATCTGAATATTCCTGCCAAGAATCATTGTTAATTAAAATTTTAATACATAAGGAAATTAGACAGAAATTTTCTGGTTTGATTATCGTAGAATAGAATAACTTTATTGTCATTGTATGTCGTACAACAAAATTAAATACCACCCCCCAATCACATTTTATATGTATACCTCCAAATAATTTTGAATTATAATTTACAAACATCCTGGGAGCTCAAGCACGAGGTTTTGCTAGTCAAGGAGGGGCAACAATGGCAATTGCAGTAGCTGCAATGGATGAGATGCAAGGCAGCCAGGGCAAAAGGGGGGAGCGAGGAAAGAGTGATTGCCCACTTGCTTACTTTTTCTGAGCACCCCAGAAGAAAAGGAACATATTCCATCCCAGGAGAGGGAAAAAGCTCAAAGACATGAGTAAAACAGAAGTAATACATAGCCAGCATTATAACAGATCTTTTTTTTGAAGTTGTGGGCAGGAAAATGACAGTAGCCGATGTGGCTGGTCAACTGAAGGCACGTTCCCATCTTCACATAATGACCCTCAACTTCTCCACAGATCATACCAAAATCCATACTTTTGGCTTCAGAACTTAAACTCATCTTTTGTATGAGCTGAACATATACACACACATAAACACACACACACACATTTATGGACCAAGCAAGCCTCTAAATATTTTTGACCCTCCAGGTGTTTTGGACTTCAACTCCCACAATTCCTAACAGCCAGCAAGCTGTTAGGAATTGTGGGAGTCAAAGTCCAAAACACCTGAAGGGCCAAAGTTTGCCCATGCCTTTTCTAAATGCAAGAAATATACATGGTTGATGTCTAAAAGAAACAGTGATTGGATTTCCTGCTACTTTGTTGGTTTGTTTTTAACTTGATAGACAATAACTGTTTTACAATGTTGAACCCTTGGTGAAAAAGTGTTTGGCACACTGTTGAACCAACTGTGTCTATTTATTTTTCATAGACCAAAATCTGCTTCAACTGGGCAACCCAGTACCAATGGAGTACAGACTGAAGGACTAGACTATGACAGATTGAAACAGGTAAATATTGTTTACTGGAATGTAACGCTGTGAACTTAATATTTCTATATACTTTGACAATATCTGGCATGTAACACATTATTTCTATAGTTAATTATCTACCATTGAGGCAGCATCTGATTGAGCTTTATATATAGAATTATAATAACAATTTTAATACTTGTAATGGAAGCATATGCTAAAGATAGGGCATCACATGATTAGTGTGTTGAGATAAAGTCCCTGCTGTTTCTTATTTAAGCATGATATCCATTTAAAAGGAAGGGCAGGACTTGTCCTATTTACATATACTCTATATTGTACAACAAAATAAGGTAGACTGAGGAAAGCAATTAAAGATGGGATTCTTCCGCCCTTCTCTTTAATGGTATTTCAGGTTACCAGTTCAAAATGTCATACTTTGTATGTTTGATGAATTTCCAATAAAAAAAACAAAGGTTGCAGTAAATTATACTCCCTCCATTATGTGGTGTAGTAGTTTGAACTATTCTGGGAAAAACCCCATGATAGGATTGTTTTAGGGTCGCCATAAGTCAGGAACTACTTGAAGGTACACAACCACAACATTAATTAATAAGGGAATTCTAGTTGATGCCAAAGCCAACCTGCAAGAGAAGGATGAAAGAGAAGGAGTGATAGTGAAGCATTTAGAATCTGTTGGTTATCTCTTTTTAAGATACTATTTCAGTAAAGTGTCCTGTTGAATGATACATTCAACCCTTCTTGCATATACTGAAAAGGGATACTTTCTTGTTCCTTCCACCATATATTTATATTACCGTTCTGATATAGCTGTAATATTCAAGTTATATGTATCCATTCAAAAGTCCAATCTGTTTCGACAGGCCTTTGATCTTTGATATTGCTGTTTTTAAATTGTTTTAAATTGTTTTTACATTGTGTTAGATTTTAACCTGTTCTTGTAAGCTGCTCCGAGCCCCAGGGGAGTGGCGGCATATAAGTTTGAATAATAAATAAATAAACTGATTGCTACCATGACAAGGTGATAAACGGATTGCTGTATAGCAAGGAATGAGGGTGTTCATGTTCTCCAATTTTGGTGGTGAAGAGATATCAGTATCGCTCTTTGGGGTTACATGCATTGAATAGATTTAAAAAAGCTTTGAGTACCATTGTTTAGATGCTCAAATGCAAAAAGTAAAGTGAAAATGAGATAAATAGATGCAAAAAATCTTATGTAGAAGTAAGGAACAGCATCATATCACCCCAAGTTTGAAAATTATCTAACCTGAAGATATAGTGGGATTACAGCTTTCAACCTTCTCCATCTTTGGTCCTGAGGGTTATTGCTGCTGGGATCTGAAGGGCCATATAATTCACAGCCCACTCTAGACTTTAGTTGCCTTTATTGCTTTCTTCATCACATGTAGATATTGAAGGGGGAGTGAAGATCTGTGTTTGAAGCATCAGCAATCAGTGGTGTTAGGAATGTGAACATTTCTGTCTTGCTATTGTTTTCTTCAGCTCCCATTTGCAGTTGACTCTTGTTCTTGTTTCGTATCATGTTGTGAAATACCCCATTTGAAATTCATAAGTACTTTAGTGTACACTTTTGCTAATGTATTCAATGTTTAATGATTTTTTCTTAATGTGTGCATTTTACACATTCCCCCATTGATCAAAGCATATTTGTGTGCATTTTTAAAAGAGGGATCATTTTTAGTTGCAAATGTTATTTACATATTGTTTGAAATGGAAAGGGGAGGGGAAACTGGTTTTCCTGGTTTCATTCTGATAAGAAACTGAAAGATACACTTTTTTTGTTTGGTTTTTGTTAATAGTCTCACAGGTCACTGATAGAATCAAATTCTTTCTTTAAATTTCTTTTTCCATTCCTGAATGATATGCGGATGTTATTGTATTCCCCAACCACAATCTGGCCATGGAATGGTCTGTGGGAAAGCAGCTGAAACCTCTTCCTCAAGTTTCTTCACTCTGTTACAAATTGCTGCCTAAAAAAGTTCAATTTGTACTTTATTCAGTTTCACTCCTTTTGAATTCCATTGTTTTAACCTGTCTGTTCTGATACCATAGGATATTTTAGATGAAATGAGAAAGGAATTAACAAAACTAAAAGAAGAATTAATTGATGGTAAGTCAACGAACCTATGATAATGGCATTGTAAAGTTGACTAAAATTAATTCAAACTTGTATGTATGGAATTGCAAAAATTGATTTGAAAATGCAGAATTCCTAACCTTATCCCACCTTTCTGCCCAATCCTCATACCTGACTGTTCTACTTCCACAACTAGAAGTAATGGTTTTGAATAAATACATGAACTATTTAGCTTCTATCTAGTTTTAAACTGTACTATGCATTTGTCATCTGATCTAGTCACTTCCTGTCCCAGCTCCCATGTGTGTACAATGGTAATATAAATAACTGTTAAATTGATGATCTGTACAAACAATCTGCTACGTTTGCAGAGATATTGCCAACACACTTCTCCTCCTCCTCCTCCTCTTCTTCTTCTTAATTCATTTTTATCCCGCTTTTCTCCCATGGGTGGGACTCACAGCAGTGTACAGTGAATTGCAACACATTTACATAAAATACACATTCAGCAAGACATAATAAACAACTAACACAAATACCCAATTACTTAAATCATAAACAGTAAATTTTAAAACTTACAACATATACCATTAAAAATTCCCTAACCTTAGCCCACTGAGATTATTCATAAAACAAGGTTATATCCAAGATCCTCTAAAAGACTCCCATTGTCATTGGGGCATGTCACGTTGCAAGGTCCGATATCGCATTTTATAGGTATAATTATTGGCTGCTAATTTGTAGTTACCTATTATAATTCATCTGGAAAGGCCTGGCTCTAGGAAGGGAGTTCCGAGCCATGGGGCCACCACTGAGAAGGCCCTCTCTCGTTCCCACCAAGTGCACTTGTGACAGTGGTGAAACCGAGAGAAGGGCCGCTCCTCTCAGGGCACGAGTGGGCTGGTAGGAGGAGATATAGTCCCTCAAGTAGGCTGGGCCCGAACTGTTTTATTGTCCTGACTTATGCATTTAAGAATTATGTTCTATACCTTTTTGACATCTACTCCTCACACTTTTATGTCCCCCTTTCACTGTCTTCCTTGACCCCATTTCCTGGGGGTTGTGTAATGTTCCTTAGTTTCAGGTCCAAAACAATTTTCCGTAATGGTTGTTTTCACTGTTCATCTTTTTAGTCTGCTGTTAAACAATTCTACATTGAGCTTATAGTGTTTGCTCCCAAGATTTCAGAACAAATATTCCATAATCTGGGCACATCAGCTCCACTTTAATCTGTCAATTCTGAGTCATGTAATTGTTAATTGTGCAGTATATAGTGTAGTTGTATAATGTTTTACTAGCCAAATTTGTCTTTTGTCTTGTAGCATTGCATAGTTAACAGCCTTCTCCTTTTCTAAACAGCAATTCGGCAAGAACTGAATAAGTCAAACACAACATAGAAAGACTAGGACTAAGCCATTGTGACCACTGGTCTTGGCATAAAGTCAACTACATTTTGTGAGCTGTTAGAAGAAATGGAAAAACACACTAAGAAGAAGAAGAAAGAGCAAGATTCTGAAAACTTTCAGACGTCACTATTTCCCTTTGCTGCTGTTTTCTGACTTTGAACAGGGTGGAAAATAGTCTTAAATTGTGATGACGATTTATGCAGAAAATCCTATACTGTCGGACAAGATCACAGTGCATTGAAATGTTTTCATATCAAAATGAAGCTGCATATTCATGGTTCATTAAGATACAAAAAAAGGAGTAAAATTGGAGAAGGCTTTTCAAAGAGGTTTTCTTAAGGAAGGATTTAGCAAGCTGTACTGTTGAACAAATGTGTATCTCAGGTTAGTCTTCCTATCATATCAGCTATTTCTATTAAAGATTGAACATGACTTCGGTTTACAAAATAGTGCAGATAGGAAAGTGTGCTGAAAAACACAATGCAGACGAATACGAAATAGAGGAAGCGTGTTTTAGAATCTCGTGATAAGAAACCTCTCTTGTTAGCCTTCGTGCAGTTCTGTAGGGGGAAAATGCAAATGCTGTCCAGAATATAAAGATATAGATGCCTTCCTAAAATGTTATGCTTTACCAAATCTAAAAGTTCTCCAGAATACCAATCAATGGTCAAATGTAAATTGTTAGATTGTTATAGACTTACCATAGGTTTTTGAGCTTTTACAAATTTATGCATGTAGACATTTTTTTGTAATATAACACAACCACAGAGTTGGCTTTTTAATTTAAAACATTCTTGCATGCCACAAATATTAAGTAGCCCTTTTTTCCCATTAAGGTCTAGTTAATGCCCAGGGGGAAAAAAAACTTGGGAATCATTGTAGGGTTGAGAATAGGGGTGATTTTTTTAATTTAAAACATTTGTATTAATTGCTGCACTATTTTTCCTTTTATTGCATGCATGTGTAATAAGAAGGAAAATGTTGTGACTTATCAGTAATCATGTTAAATAGAACCAGGTACTTAATACTTTTTTGTATCATTTCATTTGTATTACGAAACTAAGTAATGCCTCAATAATGGCATTACCAACTGTTTTTGTTCTTTTCTCAGCTTAAAGTTAAGCATTAAGCATCATGGTAATACTGAGAGGTGATTTTTAAAAGATATATATAAAAATAATACCATACCCTTCCCACACAACAGCTAGTTACACTGTGTATTGAGGCAAATCTCATTTAAATTTGGGGAGGGGGAGCTGGAGAGTCGTAATCAGTGCAAAATGCTGTGCTTCCAATCATTTATTGCAGTTGTTCTCAGCCTGTGGGTCCCCAGATGTTTTGACATTCAACTCCCAGAAGTCCTAACAGCTGGTAAACTGGCTGGGATTTCTGGGAGTTGTAGGCCAAAACACCTAGAGACCCACAGGTTAAGAACTACTGCTTTAAAGTAACGAAGGATAACTTGTTCCCTTCCAGATGTGGTTGTACCACATGTTCTATTAATAATAGCCACCACAGCCAGTGGGAATCCAAGATGGGAATTGTTGTCCATTTGCACCTGGAAGGCCACATTCTCCATCCCGGCTTTAAATCCAGGTTGTGTGATTGATTGCCAACAAGCTATGAGATCATGCAATCTTTTGTCTCCGTGCTCTCCGCAGCAACCATTCTCCTCCTTTCCACTTAGACCCCAAGAGTTATGAAGGGTTGCATAATCGCTAGTTCTATTTTACCCAGGATTTGAAAATGGTTACTATCAGTGCAGCCTATAATGATGGTCGCGGCTGGTTTAATTTGATGCGAGATGGGTGGAAATCCGCATATGAGTTTTCTCATGCATTGGGCATGTAGTTAACAATCAAACATTGATGCAGAAAGTCACAAGACAGGAAAAGTCTTAAGAGCAGAGTAGCAACAGTATATTTTTAGGAACACAGAAAGTCACATAGTATCATCTCCTATCCCAACTTCTAAATCTTTATTACATTTTCCCATGCAGAATTTAGGAAAAGATGAGAGAAGGAGAGATCCTTCAATTAAATTTTGTGATTTGACAAAAGAAGTTCAAACAAGCACCCAGTGCTCAGGAGTTAATGCTATAATAGTGCCATATTTATTTCGTGATCTGTTCTCATTTGGAAGTGACTTCTAGTTTGAACGTACCTACTCATTTTCTTAGATCATCCAGATCCATCCAATTTAGTTCACAAGAAAGTTTTAATTAGCACGTCCTGCCAAGCGTTAGACAGCAAAGCAAATTAACCATTGTTATTACTGCTCAGAGGCTTGAATGAAGCCATCATTTCCCCTTACTTTCTACAAGACATAAGTATGGCAAGTAAAACATAACCCCAAATCAGTGGTAACTTCTAAAAAAAGTTCTCTTTGCATACATTAGTTGAAGGCATTTAAATCTCAAGGCAAATAATGTTGATCCCATTGACAGGAGGCATTTCCATCTTTTGAAAGTAATTTCTGTTTAGACGGTAATTAAACGTAAACACTTGCTCTTTCCAGAATCATGTTTGCTTTTGTTTCTAAAGACAATTTTGAGATTGTCTAGGAGAATGTTACAAGCGTAAGTGGTCCAAAGGTAAGGAAATTAAGTTACTGATTGTGAATGAAACTGGTTAATGCACTAAACGTTTTGTGCCTTGGTCTAAAGTTAACATGATTTCTGTGTAAAAGGAAAAAAAAGAAGCAGAGGTCTTTGTACTCTTTCTACATGCATAGTTACATAATCCTGAATTGGACCGCTCTGAAAGATCTAGTTTTAGTTCAGTTGTAAATTCCAGCTGTTACTACTAACAGCTATGCCATTGCCAGATTATTCCTGTAATTAAAATTAGCTGCAGTCTATTAGGTTATTTTAATTACTGTTCTTTAAAAATGTTACGATGGTTCCTGTGCTTTTGTACAGCGGATGCCTTAAGCTGAATATGGTTTAGGGGATCACTTTTAATTCCAGGAAGGTATTGCTTTCCTCAACACTGTGATCTGATCTGTGATAAATCTGTCCTATCCATACACAAGTGGCTAACAAGTCAATTGCATACAAACTGAATGTACAAATCTTAGTGCTGGTGCTGAAATCTCTTCAGAGTTGTCATGAAACATTGTTCAAAAAGTTTGAGAGCATCAAGTGTCAATCAAAACTGAAGATGAAACACTAATGAATGTTGAATTTTCATGCATTTAGTTTTACCTCCTTTTGAGTTTTCCAGTTAATTCTCTGCTATTTTTACCATATTGTGTCATTTTAAAATTTCTTAAATGCTAACTTTGTTTTGTTTGAGCAGATGAAATAAAATTGCAATATATACATGTTGCTGTTATTATTTTTGTGAACTTTGATGTCATGTTGGGGGGAAACAGATTGCTTTCAGTGTAAGGCATTTCTGTTGCCCTGTGAAGTTCTCAGCATTCTGTAAGTGCTACTTCCACAAAGAATGTACCAAAATTTGTTTAGATTCAACATAAGGGTTGAATCCAAGAAGCTGGCTATTACATTTCCACTTTGAAGTTGCTTTTGAGTTTTGATTTCTCTCCGTCCAGCTCCCCTGTACCTTACAATGTATATACAGGCAGTCCCCAAGTTCTGTTGGTTTGTTCTTAAGTTGAATTTGTATGGAAGTCAGAACAAGTACATTTTTAAAATGTAACTCCAGCTATAACTCTTCCCTATGCTTTAGATAGCATAGGGAAGAGTTAACACTCCTGTGGTGTTTGTTTTGCTCTCTCTGCCCCTGTTCAGAAGCTTTCACATTACTTTCTGTCCCTGTGATAATTGGATTTTGAAAAATGTGGCTTGTTGTAGAAACAAGGATTTGTGAGAAAGCTTCAGTGGAGACACAATATTTTCCCTACAATAACTCTTTCAGGGGTAAATTTCCCTTCCTAGTGGTAGATTTCCCTGACTTCATGTTGTCTCACCCCTGTTTGTAACTATGAGTCATTTGTAAAGCATATGTATGTAACTTGGGGACTGTCTGTACAAATTACACAGAAGCCACCTACAATCATAGTTTACTCAAACGTTTATGCTATTGAGTTGATTCATATCTTTTCACCAAGTTCCCTGTTTTTAATTTATGAGCTCAAAATGTCTTCACCTTGCTTGTTTTAACAGGCTTCACTACTACCCAAATAGCCTTGGAAACATGCGTCTAATGCAGCTGTATCTCACTTTCTTGATAATGACAATTATGTTATTTGAGAATATAGCTCCTTAATCATAAAAAACTCAAATATTTAATTTAGAAGCAAAAGGTCAGACATTAATTAGTTCAAACAAAATTACAGATTCCATTAATGGAATGGAACTGTATTTACCTTTGTGTCTAGAGGGGATGAAGTAATCTTGATATAATAACATCAAGAAAAGGGTAATTTCCAGGCTTTTGTGAAAAATACAGGCAAAACTATAAAGTTGTTGACTTCTGACTTGACTTAAAAGAGGCATGATTGACAGTTATTAAACACTGAACAATGACACATAAACTTGTTCCCCCTTTTCATTGAATTTCAAAAACAGCTGTTGATATTTTGTGTACTCAAGGAAAGAAATAATTATGAGTAACTTCTGAGTTTAATTTATTTAAATAGTTACCAACCAGCTCTTAAAATGTGCCAAACTCCTCCCAATGAGAGGGTCTTTTGACACTTATAAAGGAACAGGGAAGATAAAATGGCGTATGCCAGTGGTTCCCAACCTTTGTTCCTCCAGATGTTTTGGACTTCAATTCCCAGAAATCTCAGCCAGCTTACCAGCTGAAGTCCAAAACACATGGAGGACCAAAGGTTGGGAACCATTGGCTTATACCTCAGAGCACTGCAGACCATTAGAATAGACCATTATATCTGATTTCTTTTGGTGAGTTGGTGGTGATAGTGCAGGGTTACCTTCATAGTTCATTCATTCACCGGGAATTCCTGCAGTTTTGTTTTCTTGCCATCTACCCTCCCATACTAACCCCCTTATCCTGCTCCCAACAAAACTGCATTTTCTTGGTTGGTGTCATTGTCTTGCTGTTGCTGTTGCCACAGGGTTCTCTCTTGGTTGTGTCATTTGGGGATATGATGCAGATGGTAGTGTAAATAGGCTGATCCATACAGGTGTGCAAATATAATACTTTGCACAAACGCAATCGCCAGTTTTGTTTTTTTTGGGTTTTTTTACAGACAACAGTTGAATACCGAGTAGCATTTTAAATGGTTACCTGTAGGCTCTTAGCATAAAGCATTTCCATAGGCGATCAGATTGTTTTGAGCAATTAATGAACAAAGTTAATACCATTGTATCCAAATATTTTGATGCTCTTTCATTGCTAAAAGAAGGAGCAAACCTCCCTTGATATAATCGGCAATGTTCTCAAAAGGTTTATGGTGTTCTTTGTAAGAAAAGTGGAATTTCCATAAAGAAATTCTGCATTAAACATTGGAAAAGTTTAAAATAGCCAAGAGCACTACTCAAGAAAAGACTTGAGTTGGGCCACTTGATAGGAAGATTCCTGGGATTGGGGACAAGGAGCGCACTATCTGATAGTAAGTGATGGGAGCTGCAGTGGCGCAATGATTTAAACCCTTGGGCCAGCAGGACTGCTGACCTGAAGGTTGGTGGTTCAAACCCGTGAGGTGGGGTGAGCTCCCATCTCTCAGTTCCAGCTTCCCTTGCGGAAACATGAGAGAAGTCTCCCACCGGATGGTAAAACATCTGGGTGTCCCCTGGGTAAGGTCCTTGCAATCCTTTCACACCAGAAGTGATTTGCAATTTCTCAAGTTGCTTCTGACATGATAAAAATAGTAAGCGATCAGGAGTAGCACTAGGGTGGTTCACATTTACTGTTAGCCAGATGTTTGATAGTAAGTGGTTAACAGTAATGGTGAATCATCCTAGTGCGATAATGTAATCAGAAGACTAATCTAGCATCTTCTTAATTCTTGACCGACAGGAAGTCATGCAGCAGGATGAGAGACTTACGCAGGCTCCACCTTTTAAAAATTATATAAAATGTGGATGGTCTTTTGGGGCCTCTTTATGAGCCTTCGGATCTTTATGTTGGCTTAAGCCAGGCAACCTCTGCACTAGTGTAACACTTGTACATGTTCCAGGTTTTGAGGGATTCATGGTGCTTCTTTCGGTAATAAAAAATATTTATCTTGATAGAAAGAAGCAATGCTGTATTAAGGAAAGCAGTTTTAGCAACTGTATTTTACACAAGAGTGGAGAAAATGGGTGTTATCCAAGAGACTGTATAATCAGAAATTATGTTTATATGGTGAGGACTTAGTGAGGGAGCTTCAACATTTTAACAAAAGCCACCCCCTCTCTTTAACTTTAAAAACAATTTTAGATAAAAAAAACTATATTTCCTTGCATGTATATACTAGATCAACACAGTTTTAAAAATAAACAACTTTATGGCATGTTGGTTGTCTAGAAGAACAGGATTAAAAACTTTAAATGTCAAAATGAGAATTCTATGCTTTAGTTTTCGGTTTCACCCTGGAAACCAAAAACCAGGTGAAAAAGCCATCTTTTCATTTAGTCTGACAAACAATACATTGTGCAGGTAGGGTTGCACAATTAAGCTTACTTTATCAGAGAGTTACTGATTTACCTATGTTAAGACTTCACATATACTTACAAAATGCAGAAAAAAACATTTATTTTAAGGCACCAATCATTTAAATAAATGAAATTAAAATTAATCACTCTTCATGGGGCCGATCCCACAAAGGATCATTTAATTAATGTTTCTTGTTGTCGTGTATTATAACAGAAAACACAGCAATGAGAACTTGATCATCTGGTTCATAGCATCCTTGTGCCAAACAGCAGAGAAGTTTGAAAAATATGAAATGAAATTGGAATCCCATTCACTCAGTTGTTTAGTGGTAAGTCAATTTTTACATAAAACCCAATGATTTAAATGATCTACTGGGGGTGCAATGGATTTAACCCTTGTGCCGGCAGGACTGCTGACCAAAAGGTCAGTGGTTAGAATCTGGGGAGTGGGGCGAACTTCAATCTGTCAGCTCCAGCTTCTCATGCAGGGACATGAGAGAAGTCTCCCACAGGATGGTAACACATCCAGGCGTCTCCTGGGCGATGGCCTTGCAGACGGCCAATTCTCTCACACCAGAAGCGACTTGCAGTTTCTCAAGTCGCTCCTGACACACACAAAAAAGGCTACTTTAAAGCAAACAATCAGATTTCAGTCAGTGTGTGTAATGGTTGTGTGTTAGGACTATGATTCTGCAGATCAGGATGCTGGTGATCTTTGCTTGGCTATGGAAACCCACTAGGGCAAGTCACAAACCCTCAGTCCCAGAGGAAGGCAAAGAGAAACCTCTGAACATATCTTGGCCAAAAAACCCTGCAATAGCTTCACCTTGAGATGGCCAAAAGTCAGAAAGGACTTGAAGACACACAACAACGATTAGATGTAGGTCTTTTGTGTTTCCATACCCTTTATTGGTTTTGTAGTCTAGTCAACTTCTAGCTCCTATACTAATCAATCAGCCCCCATCTTGTTTTACATATGCATTCATTTAATAGCAATATGTTGTTGTGAATATCAGGAAGATGGTCTTTGACTCACTTCTGGGCTTTGCATTTATTATAAAATACTGCCAAAGCTATAACTGTAATAATATATTGGCTCACTATATCTCTAGATAATTAACAACATGAATTCTAGAACTGCATGTTTTTTTTTCTTGGCAGCAGTTGTGGTCTGTCATAAACCTGTCTTAAACTTACAAAACAGGATAGGATGCTAGCATACCCTAGTAAAGGGAATGTGTTTAGTGCATTTGTCAAGTTTTATACCAGTAAGTACCTAATACAAGACTTAGATTTGATAAAACATGGTACATACAAATACATCACTTAATTTTGTAAGAACTACTTGCAGCTCATACTGCTTAATTCTAGTGTGTGTATGTAAAGTGTACAGGTTACAGGTTGGTTCACTAAACTGTAAAATATCCATGAATTACTTGAGTTCTGCTTTAATATCAATTAAAGTCCAGTTACAGCATTAAATGACTCTTTGCCAAAGTTAAAATGACAAAAACATCAGAAAGAGGGGAGAAAGAATGCAAATGCAGAGTATGTTCTTCAAAAAAGAAAAGTGCCTTAATCTCATTTAAAACTGTATAAAATGCATGCTAATTTTCTGTAATTTCTGCTTCTAAACCTAATGTGCATGGCATCAATATGTAAGTCTGCATAAACAGTTAATCACTGAAATCAGACTACTTTCTTCTGTCTTCGTTTCTTCCATCATGTCCAAGCTTTTTTGCTTTGCTGGTTTT